AAAGATTACCAGCCTTTGCTAGTCTTTATAGCAGGTTTTAACCCACAGTAGTATTTTTTCTTGCCCCCAAAATGACTCAGGTTCCATGACACCCTCTTCAGAAATGTAGTTGTTAAAGAGTTTTTCGCACTCTACTATTTTGTACAGTAACAATCTACCACAGCGTTTTGGGGCATCTCCCGCCTCTTATCCCCCACCGCCCCCACCCTGCCCCACCACTGCAAATACTGATGCGTGAAACTTAGAGGTATAATGAACTGAAACACTGATCATGCCACAAGCAAATGACTAAGTGTATCTTGGAATGAATATATTATGTGAGTCATAACAAGTCATAATCAAAAAAGAAGTACAGGACGCTTGGAAGAAGCCAGATACAACAGGCTGAGCTTTGCATCTGTTTCCCCCTTCTATTGCCACAGAGTGCCTGTGACACTTAGCAAGGCTTGTCTGGAATGAAGTGGAAGATAAACAAAGAGAAGTGCTTTGTACTAGGGTAGAGATTGCTAAAGTACTGACAAAGTTTTATATATGGCAGGACAGAGCGTAGGCTGAAAACCGGTACCACGTGTTGGGTGAGTAGTAAGTAGTTAGAACTAATTTTCGTGATGGAAATACATGAACTAGCTGGCCTGAGGTCATATGACTCTGGTTTTAGAAGCTGCACTCACAGCTTTTTCAGTGTGGACATATCTTTAAAAGGACACAATAAGAGACTTATACCTTTATTGTTAGTTTCCCACTCACACTCTTTTGTCTGTTATCATCATTATTCCTTGAAAATATCTCATATTCCCATTTCATTTTGTATAGGCTTTTTTTTTCCCTATCTTCAGAAATTCCTTTCTTCCTCATGCTGAAATTATTATTTTGTTCTCCTTTTAACACATTTATCTTCTACCACCATTACTGTGTCACTTGCAGTATGAATCTCTCCTGATGTTGTCTCGTGTAAGCTAAAATAGCAACCTTAAACACATCCAGAAAAATACACTCTGTCATTGTAAACTCTGGTTTTCCAGTATGAAGTGCCTGCAGCATGGCTGGATTTTGTTTAGATCACAAACTTTAGTATCAGGAACGGATTCTACATGTTGTAAAGAGATGAGCACACTGACAAAACTTAATAATGAACTCAAGGTTTCAGTCTTCCCATTCAAGGTGGAATATACCTTTGCAGTTTCCAGTTCCTAGTTTTTAAGTTTTCTTTGTCCTTTTCACTCTCTTCCTTTAGCTTTCTCCAGTATCGTTTCAAGCAGTCATTCAAGACAGCTGCTTTCGAAGGCAATGGGAAGATGTTAAAGCTCACCTAGTTAGAGATGCAGTTCAATATAGTGTCTTCTTGAAAATCATAAATTAAGCTGAAGAATAGAGGGACAAGTAGAGGGAAACATGATTGATAAAGAACTGAATTAAGAAAGGAAAGCAAAAGGCAGCGTTAACAGGAGTTGTCAGGTTGAAGGTAGCTTGCTAATAATGTTTCCCAGCAGATGATTTTATGGTAATTCTGTTTAACAATTTTACTAAGACAATTGGCATTTGTATTTGGAGTGTGTGACAAAATTTGTTGAAAGCAGGAAGAATATAGTATTTTTAATGTAAATAATGGAAATGTCACACAAAAAAGAACCAGGTGACCTTGATGAGTAGAATGGTAGGTGTATGCTGAAATGCAGCAGCCTAAAATGTAATAACAATAAAAATAGGCAGAACAACAAATTCAAGCTGGAAATTAGAATAGAGAATCTTGCCTCAACCAGGATTAAAACCAGCCAGTGCTTTTTTTGGTGCTCAGATTGTTTATGAAAAGTGTTTCATGATACGATGCCTGCAAAAAAAGCGATTTGATGCAGTGACGTAGGGCTCCTTTCTGAGGTTGTGTTTCTACCCTCATATAAATGGGCTACGTTTCAATATAAAATAACTTTATAGAAAAAAAAAAGATGGGTACAATTCTTTAATGAATGAATTAGTTGGTGTTTAAATTATAAGTTTAGAGCCATCCAACTTGCCAAAGAAACACTGTTGGCCAAATCCTCAACTGATAATAAATCATCACTGAACTTGCCAAGCTGTTGCATATTACATCAGCCTGGCTGTAAACTTTAAACTTGGTATAGCTACTTCTGTGTGCAAAGTAAGCGGATCTTCATCCTTGCAGAATGTGATGAGGGGAAAAGGGATTTACACTGGATGCCAAAGTGCCTTTGGTAGTATTTCTTTCAGAGTAGCACTGTGACGACTGTAACAAAGTGCAAAGGCCCCTCACTTCTCAGTATAGAAAAAGAGATACAGATGTGTTATACTCTGTTCTGCACACTGAAATTGCCCTTTACTCTCTTTCTCATTATAAGCATTAAAAAAATAAATAACTCATACTGTTTATGCTTACATGGCATTTTCCTGCTATTCTGAACAAAAATCGATCATTGACTGAAAATGGTGGGTTGTATGCCCTCTTTTTATACTTTACAGAGAGCACATAAGAGGTTCCTGGGAAAGCATGCTTATGACTTTACTATACGTGGTAAAAATCTCAGTCATAGCTTGTTGAGTGCTTAGCTTTAGCATAGTACTTCCTAGCATTTTCTTACTCAATACAAAGATAAGGCAGCATAAGATTCCCTACAGTTTTTTCTTCTGAATGATTATACCTCTAAATACAAAATATATCAACTGTGAGTTTTAAGTAGCAGGTATTCCTGCAGGTGCACTCCCAGCTAAAGAATATCTGCTTTGTAGTCACAGAGGATTTGGTCAGCTTGAAGGCTGAACTTCCTTGTTTCCATGGTTTTGAAACTACACACATTCAGACATTGCGTTTGAGCCACAGCAAAGTAAAACATTAATGTCACAAGGACAAGCTTTGAAGATTATGCTAGGGCAATTTAGATGCCTTCTGAGAAAGTAATAGTACAGAATTGTGTTTTAAGCATGTGGGTAAGAAAAACAGGCTGTTTGGATTAGGTTTTTTTTAGGGTAAAAGAAGTCAGAACGATTCCAGCACATAGACCAAAGGAGCAGCAAAGAAATAGTGAAATGTAGACAAATGTAAGTGCACCAGAATCATTTTTTATGCTGTGATTTTTTGTATCTGGAGCAAGATTCCACAGTAAACCAAAAGTAAGAGGCACCAGAGACAGGATTACTGAAACACAGTAGGACAAATTAAAGCAATAACTTTTCAGTAGTACACTAGTGAAAATTAAGGAAAGAAACTCAATGAAAGCAGCAGCATGCAGGTAAACTTGAGCTCTAGCCAGGTTGCTCTTTAAATCTTCTCCATTTTGTCAATTTTGGTCAAAACCACAACAGATTTTTATTCACTTCAAAAAATTCTAATTCCAGTGCTGATTCAATGCCCCTGAGCAGTTTTTTACTATTGGCAGAACTGAACCAACCATAGAGAATCACGTCTTATTAATGACAATGGATTTCTTGCAGCTTCCTCTGAAGTACTCAGTCCTATTTATTGTCACAGGATATAATTACAGACAATCCAACATTGCAAATGTTAATCCAATAAAAAGGATTTGTTGCACAAACCTCTCATGAAAGATCTTGCCTTCCCTTGTCACTTCTCCTTTGGAGCAAGTACGCAACCACCTGAGGTGTCCTGTCTGCTTAGTTAAACTAGAGAAGTCTTCAAAGTGTTACCAAAAAGATTTTAATTTTGCAACTTTTCCACTGCTGCTGCTATGAGGATTGTCGCAGGACTGCTAGTACAGATCATGCACCAGCAGCTTCAGTAGCATATTATCCAGCTCTACGTGGTGGCAGATCTAGATACAACAATCATGATGTGACCACAGCTTTACTTCTGAGCTGCCCCTTCTGCTGTTTTAAAAACCAATCAAACCACACAAAACAACATGCTAAGGAAATGTTAAGGAAAATGCTAATGTAGATAAAGCCTGGTTACACAGGTTTTGCATGACCGTGTTTCATTCAGGGTAGCTTGCTGTAGTCTTCAATAGGGGGGACATTGTTCCCTCTAAGCTCCATACAACACTAAAATTCTCTGGGTAGAATACATACATTGCATCACCTTGACACATTTAGCATGTGATCTCTGAAGAGAAAACGTTGTCACTACATCTTGCTCAGAACAGTCACTCTAATATTGAAGGAAACAAGTTTAAGAGCAGTGTTAAATAAAAAGCTCCCATCAAATGTGAGCTGCTTTTTACTTGGGGGACTGCTGCATGGTCCTGGAAGAGCACAAGCTCTAGAAATGCAAATGAACAGTATGTGAGAGACATTAACTGCCGTAGCTAGGCCATATTAAAACCACATCAAGTACACTAAAAGACACGGTTAGAAAGGCTTTGGATTGCCACTGTCTTTGAGACAAGAGCCTTTCCCACTCTTGATACTAACCATGCCCATTAGCCTCAAAATGAAATTCCAGGAGCTGTTCCCTGCTGTTAGCACATTGGTGATCTTCCACCACTCCTCAGAAAGGTGCAAGAGATCCCTGTCCTATTTATAAAATCATAAAATCATAGAATGGATTGGGTTGGAAGGGTTCTTAAAGATCATTGAGTTCCAACTCCCCTGCCATGGGCAGGGATACCTCCCACTAGACTACTTCAGAGCATCTGCAGCCTCTCTTCAGCAGAAACAACATGGCCAAAAGCTTCAAGTTCACAAACACTTTCCCAAGCATATTTTAATGTGTCACATAGATCAGTTTCTCAGATGATGTGGATTTAGAGGTCTGAGTAAAAAGGCTATCTGTGACAAACAGTACATTCCCAGCTCAGGGTCAAGAAATAATTGCCTACATGAAAGTCACAGGGATAATGCCTGGCAGCCTTGTGACCACTAAGAAAAATGGAGCAGGAGTAGTTATTGAGGATCCATGTTTTAATTATGCTCGATAATTTTTAGCAATTAAAGAAAGTCACAGCATGATGAATAGCTTTTATGGAAAAAAATATGCATGCACATTTCCCTTTTTTCCACCCCGACGGCTGGTTGGTTTCCGTTAGACTCACCTGCTGTTATCATGGCCTTGGTGATGGTGAGCAGCACAAAAACACACACAGTCTTTCTAGCAGTCTTCATGTCACCTCCTGCTTTCATGGCTCAAGGCAGCTCCGTCACTCCATCCATCCCACTGTCAACCTAGCTGTGGTCATGGGGAGAACTTCTTGCCTGCCAGTGCATCCTCAGCAGCCAATATCTGTGTTTTCTCTCCCCCTTTCTCACTCCTCTTCTCTAGCTGTGTGTGGTCCCGATCGACTGGCTCCTCTAAACTGGAGAGGTTCCTCCTTCTGACTTTTAGAGCACCAGGCTTCCTGTGCTGAGCCTAGGCGAACGCTGCGAAAACAGATTGAACAACTCTGCCTTCCGTTCATTGGCTCTTCTCAGGAGGCTGATGAGTGAAGATAAAGCCTGCAGCAGAGCTCAGAGGGGGTAAAAGCAGAGGACATTATTCAAGGCTCTGAGTCTAATATCAAAAAGGAAAAATTAGTCTTGGGAAGCTACAGAGAAACTTATTCTTCATATTTGTCACTGCTGCTACTACTGCTGCTGGTGCTGGTGCTGCTGCTACTGCTGCTACTGCTACTTCTTTGTCACTTCTTTATTGCTTCTTTGTCACTGCCTACAAGAACATTCCTCCTCATGTCTCCCTCAAAAAAATAAACAGTCTCCTCTCTGTAAGTGACATTTTAAATGATTTCTCCCTTCAGTAGCTACTTAGGTACAGGCAGCACAGTTCTCTTCTTGAACAACGAGACTTTACAGACCCTGAGGGGAATAACTGATTTTTGAGGGGAAAGAAAACCTTATTTTACATACTTTTCAGCAGAAATAATACAAAAATACAATACATCTTTCACTGAAAAACTGTTTGGATTTTTCAGGACACTGTTGTGTGGGTTTTTTTAAAATAATACTGCACCTGTTTCCACACTGCCTCACTGATCTACTAATTTCAGATTCAGAGTTTCTTTTCCTTTCTTAACTCACTGCACCTTCCCAGCACAGCTCTGTGGGCTAGCAGTAGAGAAAAAGCCTCAGCTGTTGAAAGGTAGAAGTCAGAATAATTACCACCGAGGACAGAGACATAAGAGGTAAAGACAGAAAACAGATCAAAGTCGGCAGGAAATTAAACTGCTCAGGAGCTAGGACTACACACCATGTTTGAACATCAATGATCTGTACTGATGACTGTAGTCTGATGTTGTGGTAATTTTTTTTTTATCAGACTGGTGTTCAAAAGTGAACTGCATTGATGTTCACTGGAACAAGAGAGTGTGAATTAAAGTCCTATGTAAATAAGTAAAAATAGACTGATAATGTTCATATAAAGAAAATCAGGTAACACAGAAATTCAGCTACATCATCTTTGTCCCACAATCATCTTATTGATTACAGTTTCGTGTCGGAGGGCATTCTGTGTATTTTTCCCCACTATGTTTTTTTAATTCAATTTAACATTTTGACACTCCTCCACACTGTTCTGAGGTTTTTGACATGTTATTCACAGTATCGCTCTGGTTTATTTTTGGAATATTTACTCTTGATCTAGGAATTAGTAATGCTTGTGATCAGATATCATAGTGATATTTTAGAGAAGGGCACAGAGAGGAAGAAGAGGTGTTTATGTGAGTAGAGATTCAGATCCAAGGCTGGAGAGAGAAGTTGGCAACATGTAAACAGTATGAGGCCTCAAATGCAAAAGAAATAGTGCTCAAAGGCAAAGGCAAGAGGAAACTAAGGCAGTGTAAATGTGCAGACATGTAGCGTATTGGATAGATGCTTGCTGCATGAATGTGAAAAAATGAAAAGATGCAATGGGATAGAGGAGATTTTGGAAGAGAGCAACCTGTCTTCTAAGTAAGAAAAGTCCTGCATTAAGTAGGACAATGAAAGGTCTCTGCCATTCCTACAGGAATTCATTCAGAACCAGAAGTTAGACAGCTTTTGATAGGCAAATATTATTTAAGATGGCATTAAGATACTTTGGGAGCAACTTTCTTCTTAAAGCCTAAGTTTTTATGTACAAGTCAGGGGCTTATATTAGAAGATGTTGTGGGTTGACCTTGGCTGGCCTCCAGGTGCCCACCAACCCACTCTATCACTCCCTTCCTCAACTGGACAAGAGGAGGAGAAGAACACGACAAAAGGCTTGTGGGTTGAGATACGGACAGGGAGATCATTCAGCAATTACTGTCAAGGACAAACCAAGATGGTCTTTTGGGCAGTGGCATGGTTTACAGGGTATGTTTCCAGCCAACCCGTAGTTACTTCCACCATCGTGAGTATGTAGCACTTGCCTTGCATGTCTTTGGCAGTGGTCCAATACAGTTGGTTTGCCAGGCCTCACCAGGTTGAAGATCCAGCCACTGCCCTTTATTCCAGGGAGAAGTCTCTAGGCTAGTTGGATGGCTTTCACTTCTGCAAACTGACATGACTCACCTTCTCCTGTAGTGACTTCATCAACTTCCCTTGTGGGATTCCACACTGCAGCTTTTCACTTCTCATGGTTTCCTACAACACAACAGGATCCATCAGTAAACAGAGCATAATGCCTTTCATCTTCTGATAGCTCATTAGATGGCTGTGCCTCTGGGGCACTAGTCACATCATCAGGCAATACTCCAAAAACTCTGCCTACTGGACAGTCTGTGATCTCTTCCAGGGTTCCTGGGCAGTTGGGTTTCCCCTCTTGAGCCAGCTGCATGATCAACCCTACCCACTTACTCCAGGTAGTGCCGGTTGCATGATGTGTAGAGGGGATGTTTCCTTTGAACATCCACTTAGCGCAGGCAGGTGTGGTGCCAAGAGGAGATTTGCTTCTGTATCAACAATTTCTGAAGTAGCTTGAATCCCTTCACATGCTGCTAGTATCTCTTTTTCAGTTGGGGTGCAGTGGACCTCTGATCCTTGATACCCCTGGCTCCAAAACACTAGCGGTCAACCTCAGGCTTCTCCTGATGATTTCTGCCAGAGGCTCCAGGTGAGACCATGTTCCCAGGCCACAATGTAGAGTACATTTTCCACATCTGGTGCTATATGGACAGGCCCAAGAGCTACCACATGAGCTCTCTCCTGTTTGATCTGCTCAAAGACTTGTTGTTGCTCGAGGCCCCACCCAAAACAGTTCTTCTTTCAGGTTACTTGGTAGAGAGGGTTCACCATCTGACTATAACTGTTAGCTGGTGCAGACATAATTGCTATGTTTGATCATATCCATAAGGACATGGCAACATCTAGAAATCTGAGGAGGACTGAGTCTGGGAGGTACTGCAAATTGTTCCTTCTTCTATCTTGTGAAAGTTCTGCTACAGACAACAGAATTTGGAAAGTGAGATATGCGTAGTCTGTGGCAAGACATGACTGAAAACATAAATTTACCACAAGAACTGAAAAGTTCTTTATTTCTTATTCATGGAGCCTGTCCTCTCAGTTATACGTTAGGAGCCGTGATCCCATGGCAGAGGAATTGATCCCGAGAAAGGCAAGAGTGGAACAGAGGATGACCTAGATGGAGAAATATTGCATATAGAGGGAGGAAAATTGTTAGGGATTGCTGGCTGTGTAAGTCAGAAATGTAGCATGCATTTGATGGAAAGGAAGAGAAGGAGAGAAGGAGGGGGATATACTGATTGTGATAGCTGAAGCCTGAGACGTAGCTGAAGGTGAAGATGTTGCCAACAAGGTGCAACTAAAGGCACACTTTCGGTAAGTGTACTTTTCCACACAGCAGCAGAGAAAACTCGGGCATTGTTGGTTTATGGTGCCACTCAGAGCCATGACAGCCTTCTTTGAGACTGGACTTTCCCTGTCTTCTGTGTTCTGAGAGAACAGATCTGGGCTCTGCCTGTGGTTTTCAGTGTGGGTGACCCATTTGATGTTGACCCATTTGATGTTAATTATCATAATGTCATCAGATGTTATTTGACACAGGCACAGTCTGTGATCTGCTCTGTTTGAAGTGGTTTTACTCAGCCTTAAAAGTCCTTGCTGACAGCAGATTCCATCCTAATAGCTCATTCAACAGGAAGTGCTGGAGCTGTAAAGCTGGATTTTAATTATCAAGATGCAGAGAGAAATTAAATACTTTCCAGGAACTTCATTTTCAATGATAACATGAATATCAGAGTTCCGGAACCTCATCCCATATAAACTTTTAAGCTGGCATGGTTCTCTTGACTTCTCATGGAGCTACCATGACTGTCTCCATGTGAGAATTCTCCCTGTTCTCTCTTTCTGCATCGCCTAAGGATCCTAAATCTTCTGACCATACAGATAGCTCAACAGGCTGCACATAAATGAGTAAATCCAGTTATCTCTGAAGTTGGGAATGGTTCTGGAAAACCATCATGATTATCTGTGTACTGACAGATGTTTTACTCACTAAGTGCTCACCCCAGCAATGAAATACAATAGTTTTGTCTGACAATTTGTCAAGGAAATGAAATTAAGGCTGGATTACATTATGCAATGGCCTTGTTCGATGTATATGGCAGTAAAACCACTTTAATTCTTTCAGAGATAGCAGTGTATGTCACACTTGTCAGTGAATTTCCTGCTTTTTGATGACCTGTTTTGGCACCTAGAACTCGGTACATTTATAATGAAGGAAAAATAATTTCATAAGTTTTATTTGCATACTTTGTAACAAAATACATTAATGTTGCATATAGGGGTGTGTGAAAGAGAAAGCAAAAGTATTGAGTAGCATCAATTCTTGTGTGGGCAGATGCAAAACTTCTGTATCCACCTTGCTGACACACTTTACTGGCTGGTCCTCCGACTACTCCAATTCTCAACTCTAAAAGCATTCATCCAGTCTACCTCAACTGTGACTGACTTGCCCGTGATTTGCCCAAAATTTGATTGTCTGAATGGTTCCAATTGCAGATTTTTTAATTTCAGCTCTTGCTTTCAGCATGCCATGAAGGGCAATGTGCAGCAGTCACTTCTTAGCCTGTTGGTCCCACCACATGGCAAGTCCCTGAGTAGAATGGCATAATAGGGTAGGCTGGAGATAAAATGGAGATAAAATTTATAAATTTTGTAGCAGTAAAGTGACATAGGATGCTTATAAAGCCGCTTCCTGGTTGTTCTGTGGTTGGGTGCTGTTTATTGCTGGAAACACCCACACACCTGAAAGTCCTGAGGAGAATATGGTTTCTTTTACATAACTCCTACTGTAGGGTAGGTAAGGCTGAGGTGATACCCACATTGCCAGAGTCCCTCTCCCTCAGAGAAGCTTGCATTTTTT